GTGCTGTCAGTCAGTGCCGTCAGTCAGCACACTGCCCACTGCCCATCAGTGCCCAACAGTGCTGCCTATCAGTGCAGCATCATCAGTGCCTCCTCATCAATGCCCACCAGTGCTACCTCATCATTGCAGCCTATCAGTGCCCATCAGTGTTGCCTATTCATGCCACCTCATCAGTGCCCATCATACTGCCTATCAGTGCCTATCAGTGCAGCCTCATCAACGCACATCAGTGAAGGAGATAAAGTACCTGTTTGCAAAATTTTATAATAGAGACTAATGCAGGCCATAGATGGGTCGAAAATCGGCAGATTTTAGTTTAAAAAAAACGAAAAATCGGTTGTTCAAGCGGCCGACGTTACCAGCAACGGTAAAAGAAATCGGCCGATTTTCATCCCGTCTACAGCCGGCAAAAAGTGTCCCTGCAGAGCTCCGCTATTTCTTTGACAGTTCCTTGACATTTATAGCGGTTGCAACAATGTATTTGTATCCATTTAGGATACAGATGTTTTTATTCGGAAACAAATAGATACATTGTTGCAACCTCTATAAATGTCAAGGAACTGTCAAAGAAATAGCGGAGCTCTCTGCAGGGACACTTTTTGCCAGACTGGAATTCCTCTTCTTCTTCATCCTCTTCTTCATCCTCTTCTTCATCCTCTTCTTCATCCTCTTCTTCTTCCTCTTCTTCATCCTTCTTCTTCATCCTCTTCTTCTTCCTATTCTTCTTCTTCCTCCTCTTCTTCTTCTTCCTCCTCTTCTTCCTCCTCCTCTTCTTCCTCCTCCTCTTCTTCCTCCTCCTCTTCTTCTTCCTCCTCTTCTTCCTCTCCTCCTCTTCTTCCTCCTCCTCTTCTTCCTCCTCCTCTTCTTCTCCTCCTCTTCTTCTTCCTCCTCTTCTTCTTCCTCTTCTTCTTCTTCCTCTCTCTTCTTCTTCCTCCTCTTCTTCTTCCTCCTCTTCTTCTTCCTCCTTCTTCTTCTTCCTCCTCTTCTTCTTCCTCCTCTTCTTCTTCCTCCTCTTCTTCTTCCTCCTCTTCTTCTTCCTCTCTTTTCTTCCTATTCTTCTTCTTCTCCTTCCTCTTCTTCTTCCTCTTCTTCTTCTTCATCCTTTCTTCTTCATCTTCTTCTTCATCCTCTTCTTCATCCTCTTCTTCATCCTCTCTCTTCTTCATCCTCTTCTTCATCCTCTTCTTCATCCTCTTCTTCATCCTCTTCTTCTTCCTCCTCTTTTTCTTCCTATTCTTCTTCTTCCTCCTCTTCTTCTTCTCTTCTTCTTCATCCTCTTCTTCTTCCTCTTCTTCATCCTCTTCTTCTTCCTCTTCTTCCTCTTATTCTTCATCCTCTGCTTCTTCTCTTCTTCTTCACCCTCTGCTCTGCTTCTTCTTCTTCCTCTTCTTCATCCTCTTCTTCTTCCTCTTCTTCATCCTCTTTCTTCTTCTTCATCCTCTTCTTCTTCATCCTCTTCTTCTTCTTCCTCTTCTTCTTCTTCTTCTTTCTCTTCTTCTTCATCCTCTTCTTCCTCCTCTTCTTCTTCCTCTTCTTCATCCTCTTCTTCTTCTTCATCCTCTTCTTCTTCCTCTTCTTCCTCTTATTCTTCATCCTCTGCTTCTTCTCTTCTTCTTCACCCTCTGCTTCTTCTTCTTCCTCTTCTTCTTCCTCTCTCTTCATCCTCTTCTTCCTCCTCTTCTTCTTCTTCATCCTCTTCTTCTTCCTATTCTTCTTCCTCCTCCTCTTCTTCTTCTTCATCTCTTCTCCTCTTCTTCTTCATCCTCTTCTTCATCCTCTTCTTCTTCTTCATCCTCTTCTTCATCCTCTTCTTTCTTCCTCTTATTCTTCATCCTCTGCTTCTTCTCTTTCTTCTTCACCCTCTGCTTCTTCTTCTTCTTCTCTTCTTCATCCTCTTCTTCCTCCTCTTCTTCTTCTTCCTCTTCTTCATTCACTTCTTCATCCTCTTCTTCATCCTCTTCTTCTTCTTCATCCTCTTCTTCTTCCTATTCTTCTTCTTCCTCCTCTTCTTCTTCTTCTTCCTCCTCTTCTTCTTCTTCCTCTTCTTCTTCATCCTCTTCTTCTTCCTCTTCTTCTTCCTCTTATTCTTCATCCTCTTCTTCTTCCTCTTCTTCTTCTTTCGTCCTCTGCTTCTTCTCTTCTTCTTCGTCCTCTGCTTCTTCTCTTCTTCTTCGTCCTCTGCTTCTTCATCCTCTTCTTCGTCCTCTTCTTCATCCTCTGCTTCTTCATCCTCTTCTTCTTCATCCTCTTCTTCATTCTCTTCTTCATCCTCTTCTTCATTCTCTTCTTCATCCTCTTCTTCTTTATCCTCTTCTTCTTTTTCTTCTTTTTGTCTTCCTCTTGCAGGTCACTGCTCATGCGCAGATTTTTTTATCGGTAAAAAGATCGGCCGATTTGCCCATCATTGCCGCGAAAATCGGCCGATTGGCAAAATCGGCCGATTTTTCTCCAACTTTACCGATCAAAAATATCTGCCAAAATACCGAAAAACGGCCGAATAATTAGCCCGCTAACGATCCGAAAATCGGCCGATTTTATTTTCGGACAAAAAATCGGCCGATTTTCGACCCATCTATGGCCTGCATAAGAAAAACTTTTTTTTTTTTTTGCAAATTGTTTGCTGTTTTTTTGTTTATAGCTCAAAAAATAAAAACCCTAGTGGTGATTAAATACCACCAAAAGAAAGCTCTATTTGTGTGAAAAAAAAATGATAAAAATCTCACAGTGCAACAGAGCTGAAAGCTGAAAATTGGCCTGGGCAGGAAGGGGTAAAAGTGCTCGGTAGGCAAGGGGTTAAAGGCCAGAAGTGCACTCCACTTTTTGTGGAGTGAGTGTTGTCAGCCATGCCCAATGTCTTTGATAAACTACTCAACCACTCTCAGATCTCTAGAACATAAAGCCTATTTATTCTGTAGTCTAAGACAGACTCTTCCAGAAACACAGTAAGGGGGCCTTTGAGTTTTTTTCCCCCTTCAACCAATGGGTTAAATGAAGAAAAAAAAAAGAGCTGATTTAATCATCCCTGCAGCACTATTGTATTTCTGCCAGTGGGGAGCTTTCCCTGCCGGCAGAATACAATGATCAGTGTTGCCAGGTAATAGCCGGTGGTACTGATCATTCAGGAAAAACACAACAGGCTGGTTGTACACAAGTCGATCAACCGCTGTACAACCAGTTAGCCAATACATGGATCATAATTCGGCTGGTCCCTGCTGAACCAGCTGGATTTCAACCCATGTACAGCCAGGTTAATGATACAGAGAACACATGACAGCTGTGAATTTCTAACAAGATCAACAACAAAACAAAATGCTTCCAATGGTATATTATACAGACCAAAAAGGGGGACAACAAGAGTTCATTATTGGGGCTTACATACAGCTTAAGGGATGGTTAGGGTTGCCCTGAGGTTAGTGTGAGAGGTGAAGTAAATATTTTTCATTGTTCTGTATTTTTTGTTTCTAGATTAAACATCTTATTTACAGTAACAACAGTATAGCAGTACTTTAGGAACACCTTGTCAATATACAAAGACATGGCTAGTTTGCATATTGATTGTTGCAGTATGGTCAGTAATGGTTTGGGTTAGTTGGTACAAAAGCTGGATCACTTGTATAACCATCTAATGATTTTGCGTGGTGTCAAATATTAAAAACGCTAATATATTTAAAGTATGACTAAAGTTTTGTATACAGTGGAGAGGGATTAGAACACCTGTCAGGTTCTTATTGCTGTCTGTGCCCCTGTTAGGGAGATTCACCCTCTCTATTTGTCCTGTTTACCATTATCATTGAACGTGAAAGGAAAAGAAAATCCCAAATTTTGGGTTGTCCCCAGAAAAATTTTAGAGATTAAATTTTCCAATGAGAACACTAGTTCTCGTGACCTGAGGGACCCAATGGATTCCCTAACTGCAGGAATTTCCTTCCTACCTGGCCTATTGTGCAATGACTGCCAAGCAGGAACCCTATTATCCTGGGAGGACGCACTTTGTGTGTGCCCCACCGGCACAATCCGTCACCAGCTTTGTCCACAGGACACGGGCAATGACAGATCAATACACCGGCCAATCACAGCAGATCACATGGCAGTTGTATGCAACGAATGGCTTCCTTACATGCCATTCACTGCTTACAACTGTGCTGCAAGCTGTGATTGGTCACAGCGATTACATGTACAGACTGTCAATACATTTTGGCCTAAATTTGTGTAGAAAGATTATTTATTTGCAAAATGTTATAACAGAAATGAAGAAAAATGCATTTTTTTAAAAAAGATTTCTGTATTGTTTTCCTTTATATCACAAAAAAACCCCCAGTGGTGATTAAATACCACCAAAAGAACTCTCTATTTGTGTGAGAAATTATAAATGTTTTATATGGGTACAGTATTGCATGACTGCACAATTGTCATTTAAAGTGCAACAGTGCTGGAAGATGAATATTGGCCTGGGCAGGAAGGGTATGGTGGTGATCAGGGTGACGGTATGGGGTATGGTGGTGATCAGGGTGACGGTATGAGCAGGCGGTGATCGGGATGCTGGTATGGGGTATGGTGGTGATCAGGGTGACGGTATGGGGTATGGCGGTGGTGATCGGGACGCTGGTATGGGGTATGGTGGTGATCAGGGTGATGGTATGAAGTATGGCGGTGATCAGGACGCTGGTATGGGGTATGGTGGTGATCAGGGTGATGGTATGGGGTATGGGACACTGGTATGCACTGGTATGGGGTATGGTGGTGATCAGGATGCTGGTATGGGGTATGGTGGTGATCAGGGTGATGGTATGGGGTATGGTGGTGATCAGGACGATGGTATGGGGTGGGTATGGTGGTGATCAGGGTGATGGTATGGGGTATGGTGGTGATCAGGGTGACGGTATGGGGTATGGTGGTGATCAGGGTGACGGTATGAGCTATGGCGGTGATCGGACGCTGGTATGGGGTATGGTGGTGATCAGGGTGACGGTATGGGGTATGGCGGTGATCGGGACGCTGGTATGGGGTATGGTGGTGATCAGGGTGATGGTATGGGGTATGGCGGTGATCAGGACGCTGGTATGGGGTATGGTGGTGATCAGGGTGATGGTATGGGGTATGGCAGTGATCGGACACTGGTATGGGGTATGGTGGTGATCAGGGTGATAGGTATGGGGTATGGCGGTGATCAGGACGCTGGTATGGGGTATGGTGGGATCAGGGTGATGGTATGGGTATGGCGGTGATCAGGATGCTGGTATGGGGTATGGTGGTGATCAGGGTGCTGGTATGGGGTATGGTGGTGATCAGGGTGATGGTATGGGGTATGGTGGTGATCAGGGTGACGGTATGAGCTATGGCGGTGATCGGGATGCTGGTATGGGGTATGGTGGTGATCAGGGTGACGGTATGGGGTATGGCGGTGATCGGGACGCTGGTATGGGGTATGGTGGTGATCAGGGTGATGGTATGAAGTATGGCGGTGATCAGGACGCTGGTATGGGGTATGGTGGTGATCAGGGTGATGGTATGGGGTATGGCGGTGATCAGGGTGATGCTATGGGGTATGGGGTGTTCAGGGTGACGGTATGAGATATGGCGGTGATCGGGACGCTGGTATGGTGGTGATCAGGGTGACAGTATGGGGTATGGTGGTGATCAGGACGCTGGTATGGGGTATGGTGGTGATCAGGGTGATGGTATGAAGTATGGCGGTGATCAGGACGCTGGTATGGGGTATGGTGGTGATCAGGGTGATGGTATGGGGTATGGCGGTGATCAGGACACTGGTATGGGGTATGGTGGTGATCAGGGTGATGGTATGGGGTATGGCGGTGATCAGGACGCTGGTATGGGGTATGGTGGTGATCAGGACACTGGTATGGGGTATGGTGGTGATTAGGATGCTGGTATGGGGTATGGTGGTGATCAGGGTGATGGTATGGGGTATGGTGGTGATCAGGACACTGGTATGGGGTATGGTGGTGATCAGGATGCTGGTATGGGGTATGGTGGTGATCAGGGTGATGGGTATGGGGTATGGTGGGTGATCAGGACACTGGTATGGGGTATGGCGGTGATCAGGGCATGCTGGTATGGGGTATGGCGGTGATTAGGGCACTGGTAAGGTGTATGGAGATGATCAGGGTGCTTGTATGGTATATAGAGGTGATGCTAGTATGACATATGGCAGTGATGTTGGTTTTGGGTAAGACGATGATCAGGATATTGGTATGGTGTATGGAGATGTTTTGTGTGCACTGGGACAGGTGACAGGGCCTCCCTGCTTTATTTATTATAGATATTCTGAGGCAGAGATCAGGGACACTGGGGCACTAAACTGGGGCACTGGGGTGGCTGGCACTGCAGTTTGTGGGTGTACAAGCAGTCTGACAGGCGTCTGTACACTCACACGCTGCAGGATCGCTTGAGCAGAGAGAAGCGATCTTTACTTTCAGTTTCCAGTTTTTACTATGTGAGTGCTGTGATTGGTCACAGCAGTCACACGGTAAAACAATGTGATCTGCTGTGTCCTGGCAACATACCGATCACCGGGTTCCGGGGTGCGCACTCTGTGAGTTGCGCAGGAGCCATCGATGAGGGCTGACGTACAGCAATGCTAGCCCGCATCGGCGCTGTTTCCCGTCCATCCATTCTACATAGATGGTTAACGTCCAAACCTCAGGAAAAATTTGTATTTCTATGAATAGAATTGAGAAGTGATAGCGCCGCTGTCAGGTATGACAGTGTAGTGCGCTGTCACTGTGTGAGAAAGATTAGGTGTCACCCAGTTTTTATTCAGGCAGGTTGAGGGGCTCCAGGGTGATTGTGTCATACAGATGAAACAAGATTTTCACATTGGTAAATCCTGGCCTGGGTCCTGAGCTCAGAGGCTTCATAGACACTTGGGAGGGTTGAAGTCTGGGACTATGGTTCAGGGCTCCGCCTAGGGTTGCCACCTCATCCCTTTAAATCTGAACACATAAAATAATTATACAGGTTCTGAGGCTAATTTATTGCACATAAGGCACTCAGTGAGTTTAATTACCACCTTAACCAGCCACAGAACCTGTGTAATTAATATGTTTTCAATTTTAAAATGATGAGGTGGCAACCTTAGCTCCACCATCCCCAATCTGTGAGGCTGCAAGGGAGCAGCCAGAGGTGTGCACATTATTGGGGAAGTCTGTGGTGAAATAGAAGCCCTAACCACTACTGTCCCTCAAATGTGATGGGGGGAAATCTTAGCCATGCATATGTATTCCCCCATATGGCTGCTTTAACAGCTCAGCAGTTGGGAGGCAGTATAAATACATCACAACCACTTGTCCCCCAACTGTGTAAACAAGGCCTCAGAGTTTGTTCATATGGGTGGATCGAGCAGTAACAGCAAGCAGTTGAGTCACGTTTTAACCCCCTTCCCTCAACCACCAACCTGAACAAGGAGATGCAGCTGTTCTGTACACATACCATGGCAAACTGCATGCAATGCAAATGACAGCAGTGCAGTGGCTCAATGAGTTACAACAAGCAGCAAGGAGGTGATATATTGCCTCTTCACTGTTAAACAACCTCTGAAAAGTGATCTGCCACATATCACTTTTGTGAGTGGCAGTAATAATAGCCACACATCTGAACAAGCCCTTTTAACCCCTTGCTCTTTTAGAGCCCCCTAGAACCCTTTAGGTCTATGCACCCCTCACTGCCCACCTCCCCTTCCCTCCTTCATCCCAGTGACAGTCCTCCTCAGACAGATACAGGCAATGCAGTGGCATTTTTTCCCCACGTACACTGATGCAGCACCAATTTTTCCCTGACTCACTGACTCAGGTAGATTTTTTCCTATCAGTGACTCCACAAACACAGGTATATTTTCTCCTTTTAATGACACCACCGAGGACATTTTTTGTTTCCTGTGACACCACTGGTGTAGGAACATTTTTTCCTTTTAGAGACACCATCAAAAAAGAGACTTTTTTTTCAGTGACACCACTAATGCAGGGACATTTTTTCCTTCCTGTGACACCACTGACGCAGGGACTTTTTTTCCAGGGACTTTTTTTTCCCAAGCCTTACATCACCAAGTGCAATGCAAAGCATCAGATGCAGTGGTGTAAAGCACACTGCCACTGGATTCTAGAGCAGTGGAGACGTGTTCTCTGGAGTAATGAATCACGCTTCTCTGTCTGCCAATCCGATGGACGTGTCTGGTTTGGTGGTTACCAGCAGATCAGTACTTGCTTGACTGCATTGTGCCGAGTATAATGTTTGGTGGAGGGGGAATATGATGTGGGGTTGTTTTTCAGGGGTTGGGCTTGGCCCCCTAGTTCCAGTGAATGGGACTCTTAAGGCGTCAGCATACCAAGACATTTTGGACAATTTCAAGCTCCCAGCTTTGTGGGAGCAGTTTGGGGATGGTCCTTCCTGTTCCAACATGACTGCACACCAGTACACAAAGCAAGGTCCATAAAGACATGGATGAGCAAGTTTGGGGTGGAGGAACTTGAGTGGCCTGCACAGAGTCCTGACCTAAACCCGATAGAACACCTTTGGGATGAATTAGAGCGGAGACTGTGAGCCAGGCCTTCTCATCCGACAAAAGTGCCTGACCTCACAAATGCACTTCTGGAAGAATGGTCAAACATTCCCATAGACACACTCCTAAACCTTGTGGACAGCCTTCCCAGAAGAGTTGAAGCTGTTTTAGCTGCAAAGGGCGGGGCCAACTCAATATCGAACCCTACGGACTAAGACTGGGATGCCATTAAATTTCATGTGTGTGTAAAGGCAGGCCGACCAATACCTTTGGCAATATAACGTGTGTGTCATGCCTTCAATTCATAATTTGCAAATATTCACTTTAAGGGCTTTCATCTAATTACAATGCTGCCATCTAGTGTACGTCCACAGAATAAAAGCAGTGTGCATGAAAGGGAACATCCAGCACCGGTGTTGTTTTAGACTCTGCTCATGCTCTTCTGCCATTGGAATCCATGGAATTGTGTGGCTTAGTGCAGCCAGGACATTGCATTAAACATTTAGGCTGGCATTGTGCTGTACCTGATGGTTGTGAAAGTGCATATATACTTACTTTAACCAGCGATAATTTGCATATGAACATTTGATGATCCATGTAATCGGGGAGTATTAGGGGTTTGTCGTTTGCCTACATGCATGTGCCTAAGCATTTTGTAATATACAAAATAATATTTGTGTCAATTCATATGTCAGAAATGTAAATATAACACAATTTTGCCTTTTTACTCTTTACACTGTGACTTTACTTTCTACTTCTGATCTGAGTGTTAAACTAATTCTTAATTCTAAAAAACGTGTGGTGGTTGTGTTATTTATTTTTCAAGCTTTGGTTCCCCTGGGGTTTCTTCTGGTAACAACACTTTCTGTCCTTGGCTAACAATGGTCACTCACTGCACTTTAGTTTTAGAGATATAAAGGTAGGAGGCAGAACTAGAACTTTCAAGGCCATGGTGCAAGAAATCATGAAGGGACTCCGTAACCTCCAGCCCTTCCCACTGATCCTGGGGCCCTGTACTCCCATCATGTGGCCATTTATTACAGTCCTGCAGCAGGATCCCTTTACATGTTCTGCAGTGGGCACCCTTCCTGCCATCTTGCCCCCCCCCCCCAGTAGCAGAATGCCAGGGCTTGGACACAAGTGTGACCTCTGCGACCCTGGTAGTTCAGCCGCTGGTGTCTGTCATTTTGTAATTTTGTTTTTTTGTTATTTTTGACCAATTTATTTATTTTACATTTTTATTTATATTATTTTTTAAAAAAGATTTAGGAGCCCCACTGGGGGAATAAACAGACCTCTGATGTTCCACCTTTGAGACAGAGAAGACTGAGGACAGAGCCCTCAGTCTTCATCTCTACAGCCTCAGCAGCACAGAATAAATGGACAGGAATAGCTTTGTACAGAGCTTCCTGTTCATTCACAAACTGAAGCATAGGAAACACAGTTTAGTATGCTTCAGTTATGAATAAACAGAGTCAGTGCTGATCACTGACTCTGAGCATTCGGAAAATAAAGGAGCCGGTAAATTGCATATTTACTGGCCCCTTCCCTGCTCTCCATCCTGAAAGCATCCCCTGCATTGAAGCATAGTAAACACAGTTTACTATGCTTCAGTTATGAAAAAACATAGTCAGTGAGCGGTGCTGATCACTGACTCTAAGCATTAAGAACATGAAGGAGCCGATAAATTGCATATTTACCAGCCACTTCCCTGCTCTCCATCCTAAAAGCATCATCTGCAGCAGCCAGCAGGAAAGGGAAGGGAGGAAGTCGGAAAAAGTGTGGAAAGATGAGGGGGGGCCAGGGGAGCACACAGGGGCCCGGGGGCAGCAGAACCTGAATAGGAAGGGCAGTGGGGGCAGAATGTAGAGGAACTGATGCTTCCTATTTTCCTCCTGCAGATGCTGAATGTCTGTGGAAGGGAGAGGAGGAGAAGCAGGCTATTAGCGGCTGCAGGAGGAAAATGGAGGGCATGAGTTCCTCTATATGCTGCCCCTCCTATCCAGGTGTACAGGGGAGCCCCATGAACCCCTAGAGCATGGGGCCAAGTTGCAAATGCAACCCCTGTAGTTACGCCCCTGGGTAGAAGGTAATTTAAACATGATTTTTTTTTTTTTAGGCATCGCAATGCTATACAATACGTAAGAAAGCATAAGATCACATAAAACATGACTTTTCCTTATGTTTCATATCAATTTCATCCCACTAAAACCTGAAAACTATGCATTAAAAATAGACACTATTAGACTATACAGAGCA